ATCCAAAGAACTATACAGAAGACTGAAACACTTGACGAAATCATGTGATCACTCCATCCAATCTGTGACCCAATTTTTAGAGAAAATCAAAGGCATTGAAATAGACAGCCAAGAAATAATGGTATCCTTCGACGTCACGGCATTATATACTTCGATTGGACTAAAACTAGCAAAAGAAACCGTGGAACAACTACTTAACAACGACGAACACATACAACAATCAAAAATACAGCATTCAAGTTGGATGGAATGCATAAACTTGTGTCTCACAACTTATTTCCAATTCAACGGCCAAATGTATGAACAAATTCAAGGGACACCTATGGGATCACCCATATCAGGATTGATTGCGGAAGCCGTCATGCAAAGACTGGAAAACATAATCCTGCCAAAGATCAAACCGAAAATCTGGATACGCTACGTAGATGATACATTCGTGATAATCAAAAGAGAAAACTTAGACAATACCCACAACATAATAAACAACACCTTCAACGACATCAAATTCACAAGAGAAGAAGAATATGAAAACAAAATCCCATTTTTAGACGTCTTAATCAAACGAACAACCACAGGAAAATTAGAAGCCCAAGTATACAGAAAACCAACGTACACGGATCAAATACTCAATTACAACAGTAACAACCCAACATCACACAAGATAAGCTGCATACGTACATTGTTCAAAAGAGCCAGGACTCATTGCAGCACTCCCGCCTTGAGGAAAATTGAAGAAAATCATCTTATGGACGTCTTCCAAAGAAATGGATACCCACGAAACTTCATCAAAAGACATCTACCCCCAGCTCAACCAACCAAATCAAAGGCCACCAGCGAAAACACAAAGAAAGTCGTCCTACCATATATAAAAGATGTCTCCGAAATCACTGCAAGACTATTCAAACCTTTTGGAATCGATGTCGCTCATAAACCACCAAAGTCACTACACTCAGTTCTATGTAAACCAAAGGACTCAACGTCAAAAGAAGACAAAACTAACGTCATCTACAAGATAAGTTGCAACGACTGCGACAAACATTACATTGGTCAAAGTGGACGCCCTCTTCGTCTTCGCATTCACGAACACAAACTAGCTGTCAAAAGACACGACATACACTCCCTCATATCACTACATGCAGACAACCACGGGCACCAATTCGACTGGGGCAATGTTCAAATCTTAGACAAAGGGAACTGCAAAAATGCCAGAGAATTCCTAGAGGCCTGGTATTCAAATGAATCAGCAATCAGTAGACACATAGAGATTGACAAAATATACCAATCCATACGAAGAAATTCACACAAAAACAAAGTCAAACTTCAGGTCAAGGAAACAGTCAACACCAAAACAAGTGAACTAGAAAGTGAGAAGTCACACAAAAACAACCAATCACGTTCAAGGTTAGCAGAAGGAATGACTAACGACATTCAGACCAAAGAAGCAGCCAGCACCGAGACAAGCAAACTAGGGGGTGAAATGTCACACGAAAACAACCAATCACGTTCAGGGTTACTAGAAGAGATGACTAATAAACTCATAGAGAATTCTAAAAGCTCACTTCACATCGAAGTATGCGCTGAAGATGTTGCTCAGTAGAGCAATGAAAGCTTCGCAACCAAACCATCCAGCTCAGAGAACACAACCACACCAAAATCATCCACCTGAGCTACAAATCTCTATTATGTATTTATTTTACTGTAAAACATCTTATCTCCCATCTGATTTTATTTGACTGTTAACACTCATATTATTATTTCTGAATGTACTTTATTTTATACTGATTTTTATTCAAATGTCTAATTGGTTTTCACTCTTGTATGTATAATTGAAGCAAGAAAGTTGTGTGATTGAGTACCTTGATATGATTATGAGCAGTAATAAACTGTACAACAGAACTGTGTGATATCAATAAAATAAAGTTTTATGCTTAATGGAATTTGATTTTACATGAATAGTTTAAATAACAGCGATCCAGAAGGGCAAACACATCAGTGATCTTGAAAGGAAAATACAGATCAGATTAGTAAAACCTGGTTAAAACGAATAAATTTGTAAAAACATGATGAACTGAAAGAATTGGACAGTCTATCTGATTACTTCAGTGTTAATTTAGAGAAAAATTAAGGTAAGTGTTGAGTAAGTGACAGGAATTCGCTTGTTTGAAATAGATAGCACGTTTCAATATCTCTGGTGCATTCACGTAACTGGGTCACACTTCTTCAACTTTGCCGTTTCCACTTCATCGTTAGCCTACTGTATAAAATGGATGCGTCATGATAATATGAATGTATAGATTATGGGATCTGTGGGAATTCAGTGCAATTCCACCTGTTAGATTTTCGTCATGACTCCACACATCAGTCACAGTGAACATCGGAAACCATCGAGGAGTACAGGATAACTGCTTCGATGAAAGCCCACTTCACCTCGGCTCTGCCTCCACCAGTGCCATATCATGAATTGACATAGTTAGAATTGGTGGAAAATTCTTTATGGGACATGTAGAAAATCAAACCAATTTGCATGTCTTCCAATTTGTGTGTGTGACATTAAACATGAATCATCCACACGAGAAATCCACATCTTCTAGAGTCTTATTATCGGTCAGTTGAACGTATTCTGATCTCTTTCCTCCCTGTGCACAGTTTGACGCATAATCCTTGGTGCTCATAGGCAGCCAGCACCTCTTACTGCAGCATTCACTTCGAACGCCTCTCTGAGTTTCCTGTTTTGGATCATCTGACACATGGCACTGTCATATAGCCATCTATTGAATGAGATTGATTCATGTAATTTACGAATTATTTTACCAAGTATGTAGCCGATTATTATTTGTCACAATTCATATAATTATTATTGAAAAGATCATGTTTATACGATTGTACAGATTGAAAAGAGATTGAGATGAACATCCAACAAATGATTTGATGGTATCACGTTTGAGGACGGAATAATATCAGTTAGACAGCCATTGAAAAGCATCATCAAGTACTGGGAATCCGTTTTGGCATTACAAACCCACTGGTTTTCAAACCCAGGACCTTCCGGTTAAAAGACAATTTCATAGACTAATCCATGTTTAAACCTGAAACAAAATGAAATCTACACAAACAGACTGCAGAAAATTAATCTGTAGCTCGCTGTTGACCGGCTGTAGGACGAAGCTGGCTGAAGTTACAGTGAGAATTTCGGACCACTGGGGTCCACTCAGTCGAGAGTGAGACCTAAAATTCGCCGATGACATTGGCTGACGCCAGTCGCTTTAACATCATTAATTGGTATCGGTTAGAACTCATGCAGCAGCATTGAGTCAGATCTCAGTGGGTGAATGGTCCACGAGTTCGCCTTGTAGTCGGAAGGTTCTTGATTATAACCCTGGCAGTAAAGGTGCGTCGTACTGGAGAAGAGTCTGAAGCTGGGATCACACAGTTAGCCAGTACTCCCTATTGATTTTTAACAGTCCAAATTTCAACAATAGCGTCCCAGGAGTGCGAACGAACGAGCGACCTTCAGCTGACCAATAATAAAAATGAGGAATGTTTGCTCAAAAATGATGTATATTGACAAGAAACTGCTTGAATCCGCATTAATCTTTCTCTGACATGACTTAAAAATACGTCCTAGTTATAACGAGGAGTATCAGTTGCTAAGTTAGACTAGTTTCTGTACATGTATTCCCCGAGATGACTACAGATAAACTGTTTTTGTGATTCGTTTATCTCTCTCATCGTGCTTTCGGTGTTCCAAGAAAGCTCACGGTTGAGTTATTATGGTTTCCATCAAGAGGATAGACGACTACTTACCAGGCAAACGTGGATAATAAAAAAATTAAAATAAATGACATCAACTAAAAATCTATCCCTAATCATAACCATAAGCTTAATCCTGACCCAAACACTAAACCTAACATTAATCCTAACCCTAATCATAACCCTTATTCAAACCGTAATTCTTACCCTCATGTGCGTCGGTGGCACAGTGGTTAGGACTCTCGCCGACCATGCACATGGTCCGGGGTTCGATCCCCTGCCGGCGCACACCCGATATCTATGGTCGGCCTGAATTTGGGCTACCGATATCCATGCTGAAAATTCCACACTTGTACTGAAAATACGGTGTGGAATCAAGCTGTAAATAAAAAAATAAAATAAAAAAAATAAAAATAAAAAAAAAAAAATAAAAATATAACCCTGATCCTAACCCTAACCCCAATACTTACCTTAACCCTAATCCTAACCCTAACGAGCTACTAACACATTGTCCAAACACTACTTAAAAACGTGATCTGGGTGAATAGCTTTGATATTTCAGCTGTGATAATGACAGATGCCGTTGATCAAGGACTAGCATGCATTTAAGGTCATTGAAGCGTTCACACAACTCGGACGCTACTGTTGAACTTTGCCTTCAACAGTTCTTCAACTGATATCCAACCGTGATCACACTAGAAACGAAATCCACTCCCCACAAACAAACTTTATCAAGATACGAGTGTGGATGGACAGATTTATCTGGTCAATCAGATGAAAGCACTACTACTATTAAATAAAATACGAGATAGTAACACACCCATTCAGAGACACACACTTATGCAAACACACACACACACACCAAACGTTGGTATTGCAAACATTGATGTAAAAACAGTTTGCAAATATGTATCAAACTTCTTGTAAGTTTTCCTGTTTTGTTACTTTTCAAAAACAAACTTTTTTCACACAAATAATAAAAAACACAGGCAGAAGTAGACAGACAGTGGTAGGGAGAGAGGGAGATAAAGCTATGAAAGATGGAAAGGATGGAGGAAAGAAAACGTTCTGAGTCATTTCAACGTTTAGAACTGAATAAATATACATTGGAATCTTTAATTTCTAATAAATTGAAACCACAGTTTTGTGAAAAATTCACATGTTAATTTATTTTACATAATGTCAGGAATAAACACAGTGACTGACAGTAATAATGTGAATTACAGTAATAATAGTGCTGATAATGACGATGGTATTTCAAGGTAAGTCAGTGAGGTCATTTTAGTTTTTGAACTTTGAATGTTATTTGAAAACCTTCATTTTCAAGAGCTGAGCTTTTTTTTACAGACACCGACTTGAACTCAATGATCTGATCTCAGTTTCAACTAGCCCCATGACTGTGCGCAAGCGTCTTTCTCCCCTTTTCATATGATCTCATCTACATTACACTCGGGCTCACGGCCGACGCGTTGGTGCCCCATCTGTGTTCTACTCGGGGACTTGCACTGAATCGGATTTCACTTGGTGAAGTGAATAGGTGACATCAGTTGAGGAACCGATGGAATATCAGGGAATACTGGATAACCGTTTCATCCTAGTTTGGGACTGTTTGCGAGTTGGCAGAAGCTGAGATTCATTGACTTTTGGGTCGGCTTCCGATTGGCTGAATGGTCTATGAACTCAACTTATGACCAGAAGGTCCTGGGCTCAAACATCGATGGATGGTCAATTTGTCATAGTCCCAAACTAGGATGGAAGAGCTGTCCAAAGCTGTTTGGTTTTCCAATGGTTTTCCAACTGATGACAGTTCGTGATCAAGCATGCAACCAGTGATATGTCTGGAAACCAACAGTTGATGATTTATTTCTCCGCAGTGTATATTCTCAACCTGTCGCTGTTTCCTTACGCACTATTGTTTGCTGGTTCGCTGCTTGTCACAGTTCCTTGTTGCTTGTGTGTACTTTCTGGTCAGCCGGAGATGTGACTTTCAGTGTTGAGTCAGTGAAAGAGGTGGGTGTTGATGAAAGTCTTCAATAGGATGTTGGAAATGGTTTTAAATGCATAATGACCAACTCTCTGAGTCATGTTTTTTTATTCCTTTACGTTTCCAATCGGATGTACGGTTTCAAGAGAGAGAGCTTTGAAGTTTCGGTAACAGTGGTGTTAACTTTTGTGAGATGGGGTTTCTAGCCTCATGCCCAATCTCCTTTATTACCATTTCTAATACTGACTTAGCGAGGTTTAGGAGTGCGTTGGCTGAGGATCAAACCCCAAACCACATGAGGTGTGGTTGGCGAGCGTTCTATCTAGACGATGTGTAGAAGCACTTATCTGACATTATGCTGGTGTTAGACAGGATTTGGATCTTGTTCCTTAGTGGTGAATTTTAACGAATGGTTAGGTGTGACTGACTTATATAAGAATAGAAGTCGGCAACTTTGGTAGAGTGTAGTTCCATCGTGGAGTAAATTTGTTTGAAAAGAGCATACAGTGATACAGTATTATTCACTGAGAGCAACGTCTCCAGTACATTTTATTGGCCATAATCATATCAAGGCGCTTACATAACTTTCAAACTTCGTTTATGTAATTCGATTATTTCTTATCTCTTGATTTGATTGGTAGTAGCACTTTCCATATCTTCGGTAGTTATGATGAATCCTTCCTACTGCATGTAGTGAGTGAAGATTCGATGAACGAAGACCGAATAGTCGACCTCTTTCTTGATTGACAAACTCATTCAAGGATTAGTTATGTAGATTTATGAATGATATTGATCCAATGAGACAAAATAGTGTAGTTTACGAAATACCTTTAAATGACTCTGAGTCAGGTGAACTGCATAGGGCAAAGCAGTAGATCAGGGCGGTTAGATTATCGAAATGTTTTTAATGTCACACAAAGTCGCTCGAAGATCTATAAGCGAAAACTAACACACTAGCTGAAGAGGCGAGGCAGGCGACGAAGACAGCACTCCGGTTGAACGTAGAGAAGATAGAGGTGATGAAGGCAACCACCAACCAACAGCACAAACAACAAACAGTACAAATCACAATGAACGGGAGAGATTTGACATAAGTTAATTCCTACCTTCACTTATTCACGACCCACGGTTTCAACCACAGGCAGTCGGACAGCACGAATGGAGGTGTCAAATTCAGTCAGTCAGTTTCGGAAAGGCAAATAGGCCTACGTCAACTTGAAGTTAGTTATAAAATGCTATTTCCTCACTCACTCAGCCAGCCAGCCAGTAGATTAAGATTCGGATTTATTTCAACACAAACGTGAAGTCAGCAGCAAGAAACTCTAGCTGGGAACAAACCATCAGGTGAGAGCCGATTGCTCAACAAGTATGTTGAAGAAAATGGAGATGGATTGATTGGGCATATGCCATTGGGGAGGCCGTCGAATGTCCTCGAAAGTAATACAGGCCATTGCTCGAGTGGAAGGCGAATGGGACCCGACGAGTAGGTGGTCAGTGCAAGTGTGACATGGACAAGGTCGTGTGAGTTGGAGGAGGAGGAGATGAGAGATTGTGAGCGATCGTGGAGCTAGCCAGATGAAGAGAACGGCAGACAACAGAAGAAAGTGTAGATGTGTTGTTGTAAACCAATGTTCCACTCGGAACCTAAATGAAAAATGTAGCTAAATGTAGAATGATCGACTCCGCCAAAATAATTAAATGAGAAAAATACATGGATAGAGCAACAGTTCTAAAAGTTAATCTAAGTAGGTTGAGGGACAGTTTGACTACTGAATAGTTGTCCGACGAATATTCACCTAACATATGCAATAGAAATGACTCATCATTCATACTAGGGATATGGAAAGTCATTCAAAACAAGGGAAGTAACTGGTTTACTTTGAACAAAATGCGAGAAATGCTCACAGATCCAATTTTGAGGGTGGGGTGAGTGGGGTGGAAATACTAAAACTGGTTAACTAGAAATTACTCAGTCAAATATAAGTATCATTTTTTCCTTTTCAATGCATTTGTTATGTCATTGTGTTTTGGTTTTCATGTTGAGAACTATTCAGTTCAATTGCCATCTAGTAATTTCATTTAATAGTGCATTACCTATGATACCGTTCACTTTCAAGCGGTATGAGTTTGTGAGACTCCATTTACAGAATACTTTATTATTATTATTAATAGTTATTATGAGCTCCTTAGGATCGGTGTAGAATATACGGGTTCAACAGAACACCGACACTGTTCTCTGCTGTAATTTTTTTGAGCTAGTGCCATGATTGCTCACAAGCTGTTATTTCCTCTTCACAAGACCTCATCGGTTGCCCAACTTGTCGCTTCCCATTTGAGTTCCATCCGAGCGTGTGTATTAAGTGTTATGTGGCTCGATGGTCTCCTCAGTGTATGTTTGATCTACCTGAACTTTTTACTGAATGCGTTTTAGTCAATAGGTTGATGAAAGTGTGAAAAATTCTGTTGGAAATGCTTTCGGGATACACTGTGTCTCATAACCGTATAGGAGCACTGAATTGACATTTACAGAACGTTCTTCATGAAAAAGCATGATCCTTAAACTAGAGGGAAAAGGTAAAAATCTTCGACCTTTGTTGATCTTATATGTGTTAGATTTTAAAAATGTACAATTTATATATTGCGTCTTCTGCTTCTTGTTTCATTTCTTTGAGTTCCAAGTGGAATATAAGACTTCAAGCTTCAGTTGTAAAGTTTCAACCACTGTACTCCTTTTTTAAGGAGTGACGTTTCTAGGCTCATTCCCAGCCTGCCGTCTTTACTGCTTGCTCTTACCACAGGCTAAGCAAGGCTAAGAAGTGAATCGGCTGGGAATGCAACCATGCGTGTTTGGCAAGCAACCTACCATGAAACCATTGACTCACATGAGCATGCAGTATCAGTCAGATTACATGTAATTTACACTATTTTAATTCACAAAGAGATCGTCTAAAAACCTATGCTATGGAGAACAGTATCTGCAATAATATAAGAATGTCACTGCTTTCAGTGTTGTATAAACTGAATAAGGTAGGAGAATCACCTGCTAGGTTTTAGCCACTTATCTAGAAGTGCGTATTTCTAGTATATACGACATGTTTGTCGACTGGGAGGCTTTTTGGCTACTGTCGGTATCCACTGGCAGTTTATCTAATTCATACTCCAGTTTGGTTGACATTGGGGTCAATAGAATAGGAGACTTGCCATTCCCATTGCACTCTGAATCATTGTCAGATGAATTATTTTGCTTCTTGAACATTAAGAAATACTTCATTTGGATAGCCTTAGAAAGAAGAGTCCTGACCTATTGATTTCTAACTTCGGCAGTACCCACGTAGGAGCACATCGGGAATACAACCCAGAACCTTGAGGTTACGAGATAAGCCAGTGGACCATTTAACCAGTGGAACAGAATCCAGAGGTCCATCAATGCTTACTTCTAGCGATTCTCCTTCTAATCTGAGGGTCGTACGTTCGATCCCTGGTGAGTACTGTTGAAGAGTCCCGAAATGGAGTGAAACGGATGTCCAGTACTGCTGGGTATTCAATGGTTCCTTAAATGATGTCGTTTTGTGGTGTAAACGAGAGTCAATCGAATCTCTTCTAACGAACACTTAGAAAATGTTATTTTGTTCGATCTGAACTGTTTACCAAGATTTAGTTTAGAATTAACACAGTTTACCTACAAAAAGCTCCCACTTCTCAAATGGTGCAAAAAATTGTAACACTTCTTTTCATCATAGAATTCCGTCACAGTTATCAAGGCGTCTGTTTTAATCACAAAAGTACAAAGATGGCTGAACAGTTATATAAACTCTGTCAAATCTCTCCTCCGTTCATAGTAACTGATGCTGGTCGTTGCTTCTGTTTGCTTTGGTTGGTCACCTTCATCACCTCCGTCTCCCCCTTCTCGATTTTCACCTGGAGTCCTGTCTTGATTGCCTGTCTTGCCTCTTCTATCAGTTTGTTGGTGTTCGTATGCAAGTCTTCCAGTTTGTGTGTGTTTGTGACATTAAGCATAAATCATCCTCACGCGAAATCCAGATCTTCTACAGTCTTATTGTCGGTCAGTCCAACGTATTCCTGTCTTCACACTCCCTGTGCACAGCCTGACGCATAATCCAGTCCACCGCGATTCAGAATGTCATCGTTGATAACAGTCAGGCAGCCTTGCCTTAAGCCTGTATTGACTTCAAAGTTCTCGTTAAGTTTTACATTGTGGATCATCTGACACTTGACATCATTGCCATTTAGGTTGGTCGAAGGCTTTGCGGAGTCATT